TGCTCCCCCGAGCAGTTCTCCTGCACGTCGGGGGAGGTGGACTGCATCCCGCAGGCATGGAGGTGCGACGGTTACCCTGAGTGCGACGACAGCAGCGACGAGGAGGACTGTCCCGTCTGCTCCGAATCAGAGTTCCAGTGCGACAGCCGGCAGTGCATCGACCTGAGCCTGCGCTGCAACGGGGAGGTCAACTGTCAGGACCGCTCGGACGAGAACAAGTGTGAAGGTGAGGCGGGAGACGGGAGAGAGGGAACACGAGAAGAGAAGGAGAGGATGATGATGATGGTGATGATGATGATGATGATGATGATAGTGATGATGATGGTGATGATGATGGTGATAGTGATGATGGTGATGATGATGGTGGTGATGATGGTGAAGATGGTGATGATGATGGTGATGATGGTGATGATGGTGATGATGATGGTGATGATGTTGATGGTGGTGATGATGGTGATGATGGTGATGTTGATAGTGATGATGATGGTGATGATGGTGATGATGATGGTGATGATGGTGATGATGATGATGATGATGATGATGGTGGTGATGATGGTGAAGATGGTGATGTTGATAGTGATGATGGTGGTGATGATGGTGATGATGATGGTGATGATGTTGATAGTGGTGATGTTGATAGTGATGATGGTGATGATGGTGATGATGGTGATGTTGATAGTGGTGATGTTGATAGTGGTGATGTTGTTGGTGGTGATGATATTTATGATGTTCATGGTTTTGATAGTGATGATGTTTATGATGATGATGATGATGATGGTGATGATAGTGATGTTGATAGTGATGATGTTTATGATGATGATGATGGTGATGATAGTGATGATGGTGGTGATGATGGTGATGATGATGGTGATGATGGTGGTGATGGTGATGATGATGGTGATGATGGTGATGATGGTGGTGATGATGGTGAAGATGGTGATGTTGATAGTGATGATGGTGATGATGGTGATGATGATGGTGATGATGGTGATGATGATGATGGTGATGATGATGGTGATGATGGTGATGATGATGGTGATGATGGTGATGGTGGATGATGATGGTGATGGTGATGTTGATAGTGGTGATGTTGATAGTGGTGATGTTGATAGTGGTGATGTTGTTGGTGGTGATGATATTTATGATGTTCATGGTTTTGATAGTGATGATGTTTATGATGATGATGATGGTGATGATAGTGATGATGATGGTGATGATAGTGATGATGATGGTGGTGATGGTGATGTTGATAGTGATGATGTTTATGATGATGATGATATGAGTGATGATGATGTGATGATGATAGTGGTGATGATGGTGATGATGGTGATGATGATGGTGATGATGGTGGTGATGGTGATGATGATGGTGATGATGGTGATGATGGTGGTGATGATGGTGAAGATGGTGATGTTGATAGTGATGATGGTGGTGATGATGGTGATGATGGTGATGATGGTGATGATGATGGTGATGATGGTGATGATGATGGTGGTGATGGTGATGATGATGGTGATGATGGTGATGTTGATAGTGGTGATGTTGATAGTGGTGATGTTGATAGTGGTGATGTTGTTGGTGGTGATGATATTTATGATGTTCATGGTTTTGATAGTGATGATGTTTATGATGATGATGATGGTGATGATGGTGATGATAGTGATGATGATAGTGATGATGGTGGTGATGGTGATGTTGATAGTGATAATGTTTATGATGATGATGATAGTGATGATGATAGTGATGATGGTGATGATGGTGAAGATGGTGATGTTGATAGTGATGATGGTGGTGATGATGGTGATGATGGTGATGATGGTGAAGATGGTGATGTTGATAGTGATGATGGTGGTGATGATGGTGATGATGGTGATGATGATGGTGATGATGATGGTGATGATGATGATGGTGATGATGGTGATGATGGTGATGATGATGGTGATGATGGTGATGTTGATAGTGATGGTGGTGATGGTGGTGATGGTGATGATGATGGTGATGATGGTGATGGTGATGGTGATGATGGTGATTTTGATAGTGATGATGGTGATGGTGATGATGATGGTGATGTTGATAGTGGTGATGTTGTTGGTGGATGATATTTATGATGTTCATGGTTTTGATAGTGATGATGTTGATGATGATGATGGTGATGATGGTGATGATAGTGATGTTGATAGTGATGATGTTGATGATGGTGATGATAGTGATGATGATAGTGATGATGTTTATGATGATGATGGTGATGATAATGATGTTGATAGTGATGATGTTTATGATGATGATGGTGGTGATAGTGATGTTGATAGTGATGATGTTTATGATGATGATGGTGGTGATAGTGATGTTGATAGTGATGATGTTTATGATGTTGATGGTTTTGATAGTGATAATGGTGGTGATAGTGGTGATGATGATGGTGGTGATAATGGTGATAGTGGTGATGATGGTGATAGAGGTGGTGATGATGGTGATGATGGTGATGTTGATAGTGATGATGATAGTGATGTTGATAGTGATGATATTTATGATGTTGATGGTTTTGATAGTGATAATGGTGATGATGGTGGTGATAATGGTGGTGATAATGGTGATAGTGGTGATGTTGATAGTGGTGATGTTGATAGTGGTGATGTTGTTGGTGGTGATGATATTTATGATGTTCATGGTTTTGATAGTGATGATGTTTATGATGATGATGATGGTGATGATGGTGATGATAGTGATGATGATAGTGATGATGGTGATGTTGATAGTGATGATGTTTATGATGATGATGATAGTGATGATGATAGTGATGATGGTGAAGATGGTGATGTTGATAGTGATGATGGTGGTGATGATGGTGATGATGGTGATGATGGTGAAGATGGTGATGTTGATAGTGATGATGGTGGTGATGATGGTGATGATGGTGAAGATGGTGATGTTGATAGTGATGATGGTGGTGATGATGGTGATGATGGTGATGATGATGGTGATGATGATGGTGATGATGATGATGGTGATGATGGTGATGATGGTGATGTTGATAGTGATGGTGGTGATGGTGGTGATGGTGATGATGATGGTGATGATGGTGATGATGATGGTGATGATGGTGATTTTGATAGTGATGATGGTGATGGTGATGATGATGGTGATGTTGATAGTGGTGATGTTGTTGGTGGTGATGATATTTATGATGTTCATGGTTTTGATAGTGATGATGATGATGGTGATGATGGTGATGATAGTGATGTTGATAGTGATGATGTTGATGATGATGATGGTGATGATAGTGATGATGATAGTGATGATGTTTATGATGATGATGGTGATGATAGTGATGTTGATAGTGATGATGTTTATGATGATGATGGTGGTGATAGTGATGTTGATAGTGATGATGTTTATGATGATGATGGTGGTGATAGTGATGTTGATAGTGATGATGTTTATGATGTTGATGGTTTTGATAGTGATAATGGTGATAATGGTGGTGATAGTGGTGATGATGATGGTGGTGATAATGGTGATAGTGGTGATGATGGTGATAGAGGTGGTGATGATGGTGATGATGGTGATGTTGATAGTGATGATGATAGTGATGTTGATAGTGATGATATTTATGATGTTGATGGTTTTGATGGTGATAATGGTGGTGATAATGGTGATAGTGGTGATGATGGTGATAGTGATGATAGTGATGATGATGGTGTTATTTTCTCTCCACAGTCCGTTGTCCTCCTGATCAGTTCACCTGCTCCAACGGTCAGTGCATCGGAAAACACAAGAAGTGCGACCACAACATGGACTGTACCGACAACTCGGACGAGATCGGCTGCTGTGAGTCTGAACACGTCTTCTGACCGGCTGACATGATTGTGATTATGGACTCGAGTTTCTCCGTTTCCATGGATACTAAATAAAACAATCTGACCATGACATCAAATGTTTAAACCGCTCTGACGCGTTCTGAGCTTCCTGTCCGCCCCTAAATCAGCTTCTCCTTCAGCGTAAATCAAACGTGTTTTAACTTGAGAGAAATGGATCTCTGTTCTGAAGTACGTCCGGTACATGTTTCTGTTAACGGTCAATAAAGTTTTTATCCGGAGATCCAATTCAAGCAGAACTCCGCTGTGTTTCTATTAACGGTCTGTACAAACAATTACAAGCAAATCTTTTCTTAATATTGATCATCTTCTTCGTCTTCTGTGGTTTCAGACCCGACCGAGGAGCCGCCTCCTCCTCCCAACACGACCATCGGCTCCATCGTGGGCGTGGTCATGGCGCTGTTCGTGGTGGGGGCCGTGTACTTCGTCTGTCAGCGCGTCCTCTGTCCTCAGATGAAGGACGACGGTGAGACGGTCACCAATGACTTCGTGGTCCACGGGCCGTCCTCGGTGCCGCTCGGATACGTGCCGCACCCGAGCTCGCTGTCCAGCTCGCTGCCAGGTGGGACGCACGCCACCATCTTTTATTTCATCGTATTTTAGAAGGTAAACACGATGCTGACGTTTGTGTTCGATTTCGTCCACAGGAATGTCCAGAGGGAAGTCTGTGATCGGCTCGCTCAGCATCATGGGCGGGAGCAGCGGGCCGCCGTACGACCGCGCCCACGTGACCGGAGCGTCATCAAGCAGCTCGTCCAGCACCAAGGGGACATACTTCCCCCCGGTAAGAGAGAGAGAGAGAGAAACTTTCAGCAGCTACAGTTTCTAGATAAATCTGATTCATGGAGTTAATGTTTTTGTTTTTCTCCCACAGATCTTGAACCCTCCTCCGTCTCCCGCCACGGTCCGCTCGCAGTACACGATGGAGTTCGGTTATTCATCCAACAGTCCCTCGACTCACAGATCGTACAGGTACAGAAACATTCACAGATAGCTCCGTAAACAATAGGACAAGAGAGAAAGCACCGAGACACCCAAGCCCTTCCAGAGAGGGGGCGTGGTCAGATACAGCTCATTTACATATTTAAAGATACAGACACAGAAACAGCCTGTTCTGCGCAGGGCTGAAATAGAGGGGTTTATAGACATGATCAAATACAGGATCAGAGTGGATTTAGAACAAGAAACTTCACACACATGTTTTGAGGAGCTCTGACACTTCTTTACACTGAAGAAGAGGATATGTGACCTGATGTGTAAAGTTTCTTGTTTACGGTGAGAAGGCAGACTCAGAGGGCAGAACAAACACCTAGCTGTGGGAGGAGTCACCCACCTGGGGGAGGGGCTACTGCCCTTTGTGATGTCATGAAGGGAAAAATTAATAAACCTCTCTCTCAGTTACAGGCCGTACACGTACCGTCACTTCGCCCCTCCCACAACCCCCTGCAGCACTGACGTGTGTGACAGCGACTACACGCCGGGACGCCGAGCGCCGCTCAAGTCCAGCGCCACCGCCAAGGGCTACACCAGCGACCTCAACTACGACTCGGAGCCTTTCCCGCCGCCGCCGACGCCCCGCAGCCAGTACCTGTCGGCGGAGGAGAACTGTGAGAGCTGCCCGCCGTCGCCTTACACCGAACGCAGCTACTCCCACCACCTCTACCCGCCGCCGCCATCACCCTGCACGGACTCCTCGTGAGCCAAACCCCCCCACACACACAGAAACCCCGACACACACCCCCCTACCCACCCCTCCGCATAGCTCCGCCCCCTCACTGTAAATAGCAATTGTGCATAAATGAGGATAAAAATGGGAAGGAGAGACTGAGGACGGCGAGGACGAGAAAAGGAAACACGGGAGCTGCAGAACATTTGTACATTAAAAAGAGAAAAAGCATATTTATATATTTTCTATACAGTGTTTACTGATGATGCCATAGAGGTTTGTATTAAGAAATTTGTACATTTTTTAAGAAAAAGGTTTTATTAAAATCATCACAAATATAAGTTGCCTTAAAGCGGGAGACAAGAAGGACACGAAGCACGCCACGATCAGCGGACGTTTTTAACTTATCTGATGCCAAATATGAAAAACACCCACAGCTGCGGGGGAGGGGGGGAGGACGCTCTGCATGGCGGCCATCTTGTCCGTGGTTACCATGGAAACTGGATCAGCAGCGGCACCGGAGGAGATGTGGTACCGGGTCATTGGTTTTGAATTGACCTCCTCGTTAGAAGCGGTTTTGGAGGGCGGCGTCCGCGTGGGCGTGAGTCATGTGATGAGTCGTGACGACGTGGCGCTCTGAGTGACTGGAGGTCGTGTTTGTTACACATCAAACTACAAAACGCTCCGACGAGGCCGCGGGCCGTCAGAGCGAGCGTTCAGTTTGAATTCTTTTTTTTAATACTACGGAGGCCCTGAAGTGACACAAACCTGTCTGAGACAATCACACTTTGATTTGTTTGTATTTTGCACGCCACAAACGTGTTCCTCTTCAAACGCCTTGCTGTGCGCCACAAACTGTTTGCTACCAGAAGCTGCATCGAACAATCTGATACACATCAGCACAAAACCTGAGCAGCTGTAAAAAAAAAAAAAAAAAGAATAAGTGAGTTGCAAATTGTTGCACACCTCAAACTGTAGCGTGCTTGAGGCGCCGTGTTTCAAAGAGCGTGCTGCTTCCTGACGCACGCCACAAACTACACGTTGTGCAGAAGATGTCACACTTTTGATGCCACGGCAACAACAAGTCCCTGTTACAAGTTTTTCCTCTCGTGTTCCTCGTGGGCCTCCGTACAAACGCCAAAACGCCCTCCCCCCGCGTTGACGTCACATGACTCACGCCGTCAGACGGTCCCGACAAGGTTTAAACCAAAACGTTTGTGTTTGTGACTCTTTGTTGTCGTGGAAACGTCTTGACGCTCGACTTCACAGAGAGAGAAATGACCCAAAGCTGCGTCATCCTCCATGTTTTTTTATTTTGTTAGTTTTTTTTTATTTCCGTTCTCTCGCTCGGAGGACGCGGCGTTTCACCACAAACACGATCTGTGCCTGACCACTTCATATCTGTTTTGTTTTTTTATTTTACGCCCACGCAGAGGAAACCAGTGCCCACTAAATGCTCACTAAATGCTCGATAGTATTTTTGTACCGCGTTGTGTAGATACGTATTTATAAGCTATTTAGAAATCGTTGTAAATCTGACCTTTGAACTCTCGCAGTACTTTTCATTCCGTCTTTTTTTATATTGCCTCATTATATTTTTCTACAGAAAATCACGTCAGACGTACGCCGACAATCTCAGATCAGTCAATCGAAGAACATATCCAGGTTTCTCGTGTCTGTAAGGTCAAAGGTCAAAGGTTGAAGGACTGTTGTGCCAAAAAGAAAAAAAGAAATGACGTGGAGGCGGACGAGGACGGCGAACACGAGGCATCCGTTCTGTTGCCTTGAAAACATCTTTTGTTACTTTTTAAAAAATGTGTTTTTTGTCGTCTTTGTGCTCGCCGCGTCGCCTCGTCGGAGGAGGTGGGGGAGAGTTTTCCCTCCGCGTCGTCAAACTCTCGGTTTTCGCCACCGACTCTCCGGAGGTCACGTCGTAGAGAGAAACAACACCAGCATGAGTCTGACAATCTGAAGAATAAAGACGTAAACTCGACTTTTGGCTCTTAAACGGGAAACAAATCTCCTCGTTGCATCAAAGTTCATCATCCGTCTTAACGAGGCTTCTAGCACGCCGATCCCCCGCCATACCTCCGTCTAGAAAACGTTTCATTCTCGACCGTATTTAACAGTCCACTGATTTCTACTTGGCTGTTTTTATAAAAAAATTCCAACAAATTTTAAACGTTTTGAAGCGTAATTTGGCGGCAAAGTACGGAAGCCCTAAGCGGACATTCATCCGGCTGTTTTCTCGAAAAGTGAACTCGTAATCATGGGAAGATCGGCGCTGCTACCCCCTGAGATAACGACATAAAAATATCACTAATATTTCTGTGCGCCCAAGACGTTAAAAAAAATCTGATGTTTATCGACTCTGGAGCTCTGCGGGATAATTTCTCGCCGCCAGAACTCGTATTAATCGTCGAGAAACCGCCAAAAACAAAACCCCGACGCCACAAGTCCGGTTTAACCCAGAAGCGTTTCATGATGTTTTTTGGTTTTTTTGGCCCTCTGCTGCCTCCGTACATCCTCAGCTAGTGTCCACACCTGGTGACCAGCTGAGCTCTACCTGTGGTACAATCTCACACACACACACACACACACACACTCAAGCGCACACACACCTGTGGAGACGTTCTCATTCTCTAACTGCACTTTACAGAACTTTGATCTTTTTAACTGGTACAAAACAACTTTTTTTTTTCGTGCAGCTGGAGGAACGATGTGTTTTTAAAAGAAAAGAAACATGGTGGACGTTTGTTTGTGTCCAAAACGAGACGAGTGACACGAAGAGGAGCTTCATGAATTTTAGTTTCACGTTTTTATCGTCTGATTTTGTGAATCGTTCCTTTTAAAGATCTCACTTTCTCTCATTTCTTCCATTTGATTCATGATTATTGTTACTTTCCCGAGGTCGAGATTTACGTCTTTGAACTTCCTGTAAAAATGTCTGTGAGCCCGTCGAATCTGACGCTCGTTATGTCTAAAATCTTTTTACTCCAGAGGAAGATGAGATCAATCTGTTTGATCTCAACGTTTTGATGGATGCAAAGCTCCAACATTTTTCATTTCAGGTCATTTCAACTCGTTTTATTTTCGATTTTAAGAGAGCACATAACGAAGGTTTAAACAGCCAAAAAGCACAATCATGACACTCGTCTTTATGTCCACTTGTTCACCGTGGTCGTGTGGACAGCGCTCAGTCCATGCGTGTGCACATTTCTGGTTTGATGCCCGACAAAATCTCCCTTTCAGGCGTCGCAGATTTTTTTTTAAACTGCAAAAATCTCAAATTGTAACAAAAAGTTGTGTTGCACTAAATGTAAACCACGTTCACCTGAAGAGTCCAGAAGAAAAACATCTGATTTCAAGGTTTTACAAACAATAAGCAGCAGAATTTAACTTTTAATTACTTAAAAATAAAAAGCAAAATGTACTTAAGTCACTGGAAATGAGAGGGATCTTTAAAAATCAGTTTCTGCATCTCATCAGGAGTCACTTAAGTTTATTTTTTTTATGCTGCATCAGCAGATTTTTTTTACTTTTGTACAAGTGATTCTGTCTTCTTACATCCTGACATCAGAGGTTTTTCTACTCTTGTCGGGTGAATGTGGTGAAGTGTGATGTTTGTTTGATCCGACACGAGACATAAACTTTCTTAGATTTGAGTTTTTTGCAGTTTTGCAGGTTTGAAAAAAAAAATCTGCTAAATATTTCCAAGAAAAGCGACAAATCCAGCGTGTCATTGTGAGATTAGTTTGTGTCCTCTTTGTGTTGAAACATCTCGGACTCGGACTGATGTTTGTCTCGTGTGGACGTTTTGTACAGGATGTGACGAAGGTTTGCTGAAAAGGTTCAAAGGAAGTAGAAATGTAAAAAAAAAAAAAAAAAGATTGAATAAGCACTTTGCTCTCCAGGTTGTTTTTTTTTTTTCCTCTGAGGTTCGACAGAAAAGCAGAAACGTTTGTGTCGTCGTCGTTTCCCCACATGTCCTTCATCCAGTCTGTTGCTCTCATGGTGCTCTGAGGACGTTTGTGTGGACACGACCGACACTTTGGTTTTTCGTTGTGTTCGTTTCATTTCCACCGACTGTCCGTTTTTATACGATGACTCTTACCTGTAAACAGAGGATCAGATGGACCTGTACAGCTCATCCAGCTGCCACCATAAGCTGTTGTAACTCATCAAATGCTGATTTTTTTTTTCCCTTTTTGTTAAATATAAAGTGAGTGAACTTTTAAACTGAGTGTCTGCGTGCTGATTGATGACCGTTAAATATTTATACTGTAACCTTTAAAGGTCCAATCAGTGAGATGATAAAGGTATCTTACTATCTGATCATTAAGGAAACATGCTATGTTGAAGTGCTGGCTTCTCTGACAACAAAGCAGCAGCCAGTATGTCCTCCTTCTAACTTTAGATTCTGCTCCTGAATGCTCTGGATTTGTTTGGACCAGAGAAGGTAGGCGCTTTTAAGACCCCCCCCACACACGGCCGTTTTGGACACCCCTCGAGCAGTTATCAGCTCAAACCAACAGGTGTTGCAGCGATGGAATGTTTAGAATTTGGACTGCAGTACCCATTTTACACACTAGGTGTCAGTTACATATTCCTCCATATGTAGGTTTGAGTCATTACGATGTTATATAAGTGGGAGGGATCGTGTCAGAGTCCGGTAGGTTTCGATCAACTGTATCGCCTCCTCTGCAGAAACCGTAATAACTGAAGATCAAGCTTTTCTTGCCTCTGCAGTTCTAGAGAAAAGCCACTGACTGCCTTTAATATAAGTATATAAGTATATTAATGTATAATATAATATACATTTCCACAATTTCCCAGTTTGGGATCAATAAAGTAATTCTATTCTATTCTCTAAGCAGCTGAGAGGGTTAAACACATTTTATCTGCCGCCTCTCTTCCGAGTATTACAGTAGATGCAGTCCACGCCCCTTTCTCTCCTACCCGAGCGCTGATTGGCCGGATCCTTCAACGTGACCTGAAGAAAGCGGAAGCAGAGGACTCCGCCGCAGAGAGAAGGCTGAGGAAATAAACAAAATATAGACGGTGACATCTTTATGATTTTAAACCGTAAAGACACCGAATATAAAGTCACCGTTTGTCAGTTTGACGTGTCAGCTACCTGAGCCGGTGAGTCTGCGCGGTTTAAACGGTTAGCTTGTTAGCTCGTTAGCTCGTTAATGTTCGTGTCCGCTGAAAGTGAAAATATAAAAACAGAAACTTAAAACACAAACTGTCCGTTTACAGGAACTCACCTGACAGCTAGGAGACTCTTAAACATCTGACTCTTTACTGATTTACTTCCTCTAACGTCTGTAATCACCGA